CGGCAACGCTGGAATAAACGACGCGGCAGTGCCTCGAATTCTCGTTGCGGAGCAAGTCGAATTAGTAACGCGAGACGAATCAGCAGCGACGTGGATCGATTCGACAACTCAAATAAATTTACCTCGGACACGGTGCTTCTATCTCTGCAAGCAACAAAATTTCTTCTCCCCTTTTTTTTTTTTCTCCAATGCCCGCAAATTCGCCAGCTCGAAACGTTTATCCTGTAAATTACCAGTCGAAATCTCTCTCTCTCTCGTGTTTGCGTGGGACTCGACAAAAACTCGAGACTCGAGACCCGCGTTTCGGTTAAACTGACGAAAGTGTAAGCAAAAGTGGTCGAAACGACCAATTTGCAGCGTCCCTTTTTACAAATTTTACAACAACAATGTACCAACGTAATTTCTCCTTGAGATTTTTTTTCTAGACTAAATTAACTAACTAACTTCTAACTAAATTAAACAAGCTTCTATGTCAATGCTTCGTGTTCTAATCGTTGTTTATTCAAATTGCATTTTATTAACTCTTTGCCCCTTCTTGCATCATCTTCATTAGCAATTTATTTACGAAATAGTGAGTGATTTCAAGTAATGTTGGTAATAACTATTCTGTTATGTAAAATGGCATTTGGCATGAAATTTCGTTGATTATATTTCTCCAGTGTGTGAATTTTAAAGCAATATGTTAATGATACATAATTTCAATCTTCTGAGAAATGTCATCATTTTATAAACTTTCGTAAAAAGTTTTTATTATTCGAATAATAATTAGACAAGTGTCACTCGATGTGTGTCCCCAAGAATTTCTTCTTTTGAAATTTTGTTATTCCTCTTACGTCGTAATGTCATATCATACAACACTATACCTAGGTAAATTTAACCCCCTTGCAGCTGGTTCGCCGACCATAACGAGTGACCAAACCGTACACAATAATAATTCGTCGCCATCTTTTTGAACTTGTCGGGATGATATTATTGGATAGGAAATTACCAGAAGAAGTAATAAAATTATTATTTGTTTTGCCTGGATTATATTTAAAAAATATTGCAACTTTGGGACAAAAAATTCTGCTCGTCACGTTATTCCAGCGCAAAAGATTAAGTATGATGCTGCCTTTTAGGGGGACAGTCGAGTGCAAACGGTTAGGTTAGGTTAGGTTTATTAAAATTTGTAACAATTAATTGACCGTCCAGATATTTTAATTATCTCTGTAATTCTTTTAGTCAACTCTGTATTTTGTTATTTTAGTTATCTCTGTAATTTCCTGGTTAAGCAACTTCGTAAATCGCTGTTACATTCTCGGCTAGCTTTTAGTGCTTTGAGTCGATTACGATTCAATTCTCCTCGTAACAATAATATCGAGCCAGTGCCACACAATTGCACACACATACACACACACACACACACACACACACACAC